GCTGAGTAATATTCCATGGTGTATATGTACCACAGCTTCCTTATCCATTCGTCTGCTGATGGGCATCTAGGTTGCTTCCATGTCCTGGCTATTATGAACAGGGAAGCACATAGTGTTAACCACTGGACCACCAAGGAAGTCCTAGACATTTTTATTGTTTTGTTTTACACACAGTTTACGATGAAGCAATAGAGCAAAACCAGCAGCTAGTTTGTACTTGATGATAGAAAAGAAAGAAAAAAAAAATGGATTTTCTTTTTCATGAGTTTCTCTCTATTCACACACAATGCTAATCATTATTAACTGTTTCCCTTTGTACCCTCTAGGGAGTCTTACCATAGTTATCTCCTAACCCTCTTGGCCTGAAATGTCAGAGGCAACAGTTAGTAGAGACATTTGCACGTTTTACTTATTTTTTTATTTTTTAAATATTTATTTATTTATTTGGCCTTAGTTGTGGCATGTAGTGGAGAAGGAAATGGCAACCCACTCCAGTATCCTTGCCTGGAGAATCCCAGGGACGGCGGAGCCTGGTGGGCTGCTGTCTATGGGGTCGCACAGAGTCGGACATGATTGAAGCGACCTAGCAGCAGCAGCAGTGGCATGCAGGCTTAGTTGCCCTGCGGTATGTGGGATCTTAAGTCCCTGATCAGGGATCAAAACTTCATCCCCTGCATTGGAAGGTGGATTCTTTTTTTTTTTTTAGGTAATAAGTGGATTTATTTAGAGAGAAACACACTCCACAGAGGGCTTCCATGGTAGCTCAGCTGGTTAAGAATCTTCCTGCAATGCTGGAGACCCTGATTTGCTTCCTGGGTCAGTAAGATCCCCTGGAGGAGGGCATGGCAACCCACTCCAGTATTCTTGCCTGGAGAATCACTTGGACAGAGGAGCCTTGCCGGCTACAGTCCATGGGGTTGCGGAGCCGGGCATGACTGAGTGACAAAGTGCACACACATCACACACACACACACACACACTCACATTCCATAGAAGGAGTGTGGCCATCACAGGCAAAAGCGGCTGGAAGGTGAATTCTTAACCACTGGACCACCAGGGAAGTCCAGCATTTGCACTTTAGATAAACTGTCAGTAACTCTGAAATTTGGTGCCCATAATTTGGCATCACTTGGATTTATACTGTTCCCTAACATCGGTTATAGTGACTATAATAAATTTAGAACCTTGCCAAAGCTTTGTAGCAAACTATCAGAGTACTCCTGACAGTCTTCTTGAAGGAAGGCTGTGCATGATAGAAAATTCTTCCTATTTAATTATGCAAGTAACATGCAATGAGTTAGATAATCAGGGTTTACAGATTATCACATACATACATTGAGTGCTCATTACTTTGGCTGTATGGAGGAGAAAACCAGAAACTAATTTTATAAAAAAATTGTGGAGATCAGAAAGTTCCAAAGGCGCGGGAATCATGAAATGGACACAACTTTCAAACAGAAAGGTGGGATTAAATTTTGCAAATAGATTCTGCAAAGTATATCATGGTGGGCTTAATAATGATCTTGGGAAATTGTTGGAACCTCTAGTTAAATGGATGGCTCATGAGAACTTAAATGGGGGCGTGTAGGAGCCAGGATACAGAGAGAAAGAAAAAGAAGGGTAATACATATTCTTTTTGAGCAAACCTGAAACTCACAAAAATTGACCATGTACTAGGCAACAAAGGAAGTCTATGAATTTCAGGGTGTCACATCATATAGAATACACTCTTCTATTTTGGTCAAATTATTATTTGTAGGCTAAAGAATCTATTCATTGATTTAAACAGAAAAGGATTCAGTTGGTTCATCCATGAACAATCAGGAGTGCTGAACAAAAAAAGACTTTAGGTTGAATTTGCAAGGAAGTGCTCCCCAAATCTCAGCTGAACGGAGCTCCAAGGGAGTTGTGGATTCTGCCACGGTGGGCCGGGGAAGAGCAGACCAGGACGTCTGCTACAGGACAAGGAAGCCACTTCCAGCAATGCTGGCTTCAGAACCACATCACATCTCCACTGTCTCACGAGCAAAAAAGCTGGGTGCCCTTTCCCCAGCTTCTTATCCCATGTCAGTGCCAGATTAAAATCTTCTGTGAATTCACCTGACTAAGAGAATCTAAACTACACCCCAAACCCTAGTTTCAGGGATGTACTGGTTATCAGTGGGTGCCTCTCCGCTCCAAATTCATCCGCTCAGACCTTCTCTGTGTTAATGGACTTGAACTAAGCATTTCTCTCGTAGTGCTGTGATCCTAAACTTGGCCAGTAGAGGGCGGTGGGGGGCTATTGCAGGGAGGAAGGGGGCGCTTCCTGATTCCAGCGTGTGCTTTTCGCTTTTTTCTTCCACGTCCTGCGTGGTGGGTTAGTGTACCAGTGTGTGGAGATACGGTGCTGCTCCGCCCCGGCCATGCACGCCCTGAGAACCCACTTACCACCTCGGCCTCGGCCTGGAGCCATCCTGCCGCGGTTCCGCTGACGTGGACCCCGTGTGCCAGCGGCGGGGTACCCGCAGTGGAGCGCCGAGTCTCAGCGTACACCTGCATCCCGTGCAGACGTTCATGGGATGCAGTGAAAGTAGCACTTGAAGCTATAGTTTGGGGACATTTATGATAAACAATAAATAAAATAAAAATAAAATAAAAATAAAATAAAAATTGACCTAAGTATTACATTTGAGCAACTAGCTGAAGAAGCAACGAAGAAGGGAATTCCTTGGTGGTCCAGGAGTTAGCACCCTGCTTTCACAGCTGAGGTCCCTGGCAGAGAACTAAAATGCCCCGCTGGCGTATCCTGAAAAAAAAAAAAGAGAGAGAGAAAGGGAGTAAATTAAGAGAAAAAGAGGAAAGGAAATTACAAAGATAAAGGCACAAATCAATGAAATATAAGACCACACAAAAATAGAGAGAATGAGCCAAAGCATAAGGGGAAAAATTATTTAGCAAAACGTTGAGACAGTACAAAGTAATATACAAAATGACATAAACAAAGAGCAAATAACAATAAACATGACAGAGGTTTAGAAACCTAGATACTGCTGCTAAGTCACTTCAGTCGTGTCCGACTGTCTGGGACCCCATGGACGGCAGCCCACCAGGCTCCCCCGTCCCTGGGATTCTCCAGGCAAGAACAGTGGAGTGGGTTGCCATTTCCTCCTCCAGTGCATGAAAGTGAAAAGTGAAAGTGAAGTCGCTCAGTCGTGTCTGACTCTTTGTGACCCTTCTGCATTTCAGACAGACTGTTCACCGTCTGAGAGACGTGGAGTGCTAAGGGTAGGGATGTAGTTATGAGTAAGATGGGCCAGTCTCCTGCCTTCGTGATGTCTAGGTTGCAGAGATGTGTGTTTGTTAGTCACTCAGTCAGGTCCGATTCTTTGCGACCCTGTAGCCCACCAGGCTCCTTTGTCCATAGGATTTTCCAGGCAAGAATACTAGAGTGGGTTGCCATTCCCTTCTCCAGGTGATCTTCCCAATGCAGGGATCGAATCCAGGTCTCCTGCATTGCAGGCAGAGTCTTTACCATCCGAGCTACGGCAGAGATGAGATATCCCCAAAAAACCTACAAGTGAAAATCAAGTTAAGAGAGTAAAGTATGGTCACTCTTTTGTGAAAAAGTGACACTGTCAGTCACTCAGCCGTGTCTGGCTCTTTGCGACCCTATAAACTGTAGCTCGCCAGGCTCCTCTGTCCATAGGATTTCCTAGGCAAGAATACTGGAGCGGGTAGCCATTCCCTTCTCCAGGGAATCTTCCTGACCCAAGAATTGAACCTGGGTCTCCTGCACTGCAGGCAGATTCTTTACCAGCTGAGCCACCAGGGAAGCCCCACTTATGTGATAACTATGTGTATTTGTTAAATATACATGATATATTTGCATTCACAAAAAAATAAGCAGTGGGCCATGTTATGTTTTGGCTCTTGGAATTCTATCAGAAGCAATGAAATTTCTTAATAATTTGCTTTAGCTATTATTTTGCAAAAATAAATAAATAAAAGTTGTCTTGGCTTTCTTTTTTAGAAAAAAAAAGAAAGGCATGAGGTCACTTACAATAGACTTGTGTTTTATGAGCGTGCACTGTTTATCTTGAAAGGAACAAGTAGGGGACAAAATTAAAGTATGTTTTCTGACAACATGCAAGCTTTTCAAGCCTAAAGCTGAAAAGTACAAGTATTTCATAATGTTAACATTTTTATCTTTTTACCTTGAGTAAAGCAAGGACTAAGCTAAATATAGACATATGAGGAGTCATTTCAACTTTGCTTAAATCAACTAGTTAAAGCTCTTTGTTTAGGGTCATTTTCTTATCAAGGTCAAGGTATGCCTTCCAAGTACACCATGTCTATATTCGAGGTTTATATTTTGCAAGCCCAGGGCAAGAGGCTCTTCACTGTGTAGGACTGTTTACTTTGGTTGTTCATTTTTCATCAGGACTGAACAGAAGGTGACTCAGAGATACATGGTGTTTAGGTGCCCAACACCTAATGCATTTTTGTCTCCTGAGTTTCAAACTCATTGAGAATATGGTGTAAGATATAGACAGATGGAGATGGATGCATTGGTTTTAGTGCTGATACAGTGAATTGAAGAATGTTGTTCATCTTTTCAAACCATCAAGCAGCTAATATTTTCTCTCTGAATGAGACACATTTTCTAGGCCCAGGCCCAGGCTGGGCCATAGGTGCTCCTATGGTTGGCAGATAGTGGATGAGAACTTCTGTCTCTGGCAGACAAGCTCAATTTCTTGCAACCTTGCCAGTCAGGTACTTCCCTCCTCTCCTGGGATGAGGGGTGGAAAAAGGCACCAGGAGTGTTAATAAAATGTTGAAAGAGAAAACTGTGTGTCCTGATAGGAAATATTGTCGTAGCAAACCCCTTGAGACTTAAGTCCTCTGGTTTTATCCAGTCAACCCTAAAGGAAATCAACCCTGAATATTCATTAGAAGGACTGATGCTGAAGTTGAAGCTCCAATACTTTGGCCACCTGATGCGAAGAGCCGACTCATTTGAAGAGACCCTGATGCCGTGAAAGACTGAAGGCAAGAGAAGAGGATGACAGAGGACGAGATGGTTGCACGGCATCAATGGACATGAGTTTGAGCAAACTGCGGAAGATGGTGAAGGACAGGGAAACCTGGCGTGCTGCCTTCCGCGGGGGTGAAAAGAACTGGACACGGCTGAGCGACTGAACAACAGCAGCAGTGTCCACAGGCTTCCCCGGGTGGCTCAGTGGTGAGGAATCCGCCTGGCAATGCGTGAGCCACAGGAGACTCAGGTCTGATCCCTGGGTCCGGAAGATCCCCTGGAGGAGGAAGTGGCAACCTACTCCAGTATTCTTGCCTGGGAAATCCCAGGGACAGAGGAGCCTGGTGGGCTCCAGTCTGTGGGGCTGCAAAGAGTCAGACTCTACTGAGCAAGCATGCACGGATATGGTCCACACTCCCTCTTCTACCTGTGAGTGAAGTCGCTCAGTCGTGTCCGACTCTTTGCGACCCCATGGACTGTAGCCTACCAGGCTCCTCAGTCCATGGGATTTTCCAGGCAAGAATACTGGAGTGGGGTGCCATTTCCTTCACCCTCTTAAAAATCACCTGGTGCCAAAGTAGAAATAACTGACCTCCTTTGCAACACAGGGCACAACATCTGTTGTAACAACGTTTTTTTTTAAAAATAGTATTTAGTGCTTTCTGTGTTTATCTCACCAGCTAGTCTCTCCCTGGGAACAGTGGCCAGATCTAGCTCATTTCGGACTGTTTTTTTGGCCCCGCCTGAACACCACCACCACGGGGGCCTGGGAGATCTTAGTTTCCCAACCAGGGATGTAGCCCTAGGCCCCTGCAGTGGAAGGGAGGAGTCCTAATCCCTGGATAGCCAGGGAATTCCCTCCAGTTCATTTTTGAATACCTGACACCAAGCACCCGGCCAGACACTGGACACTAAATATATATTTAATAACTAGATGAATGAATGAATTTCGTTTTTAGCACATTTAGTGGTGTTGGAGAAGACTCTTGAGAGTCCCTTGGACTGCAAGGAAATCCAACCAGTCCATCCTAAAGAAGATTAGTCCTGGGTGTTCATTGGAAGGACTGATATTGAAGCTGAAACTCCAATACGTTGGCAACCTGATAGGAAGAGCTGACTCATTTGAAAAGCCCCAACTCATTTGAAAAGCCCCTGATGCTGGGAAAGATTGAGGGCAGGATGAGAAGGGGACGACAGAGGATGAGATGGTTGAATGGCATCACCGAATCAATGGACATGGATTTGGGTGGACTCCGGGAGTTGGTGATGGATGGGGAGGCCTGGCGTGCTGCGGTTCATGGGGTCGCAGAGTCGGACTCGACGGAGCGACTGAACTGAACTGAACTGAGTCCTCCAAATTCCTGTTTCAACAATATGGTTAGATAGCAGAAGGAGAAAAGAGATCTATAACAGCGTCTCCTCTTAGCGTTGTGAAAAGCCATGATTAGCTGATCATTGTAAATGCAGGAAGGGTTTTGCGCTCAAAAACACTGGTGCCCAAGCAGCACTGTCTGGGGCACGGCCTCCTTACAGAGGCCTGTCCCGTGTGGTCGCCAACACAAGCCAGTTTCAAGGATCCCTGCCAGGCCCGAAGAGCGCACTGCGCGTGCGCAGTCACGGGGGCTCGCGCCTGTCCTCCGCCCCTCCGCCCTCCAGGTGGCGCTGCCGGCCCGGCCGCCGCCGCCGCCGCCGCCGCCGTCTGTAGCCTGGCTAGACTGGGGCGGCGCCGGCTGCCTTGGGGGCCGCGCGACCGCCTCCGCTGCGAGGAGGGCGTGGGCTCCCGGCTCCCGGAAGCGGCGGCCGCGGCGTGGAGCCGAGCGGGCGTCGGTCCCCGGAGCGGCAATGCGCGGCGGCCGGAGGCTGTGACCTGAGCGCGGCGGCCCTGCGGGGGCCGCGGAATGGCGGCTCGTTGAGGCTGCAGCGGCTGCGTCTCCGACTCCCCGGGCGCGGCGCGGCGTGGCGGCGGCCGGGGTGATGCTGCTCAAGCTCTTGCAGAGACAGACCTATACCTGCCTGTCCCACAGGTATGGGCTCTACGTCTGTTTCGTGGGCGTCGTTGTCACCATCGTCTCCGCCTTCCAGTTCGGAGAGGTGAGTAGCGGCGCGGGAGCCCTGGACCGGCACGACCGCGCGGTGTCCCGGCCCCGGCGCGCTGCACTCTTGCCTCCCCATCCTCCCTGCAGACACAGGGATGAGCCCGGCCCCTGCCCTTCCCTCGGGGGCGCCGCCAACTCAGAGCTCCCCTCCGGGCTGCGGCTTCAGCATCTGGGGTCCAGATCTCGCCTCTCGACGGTTTGGGAGACCGCGCTCTTTCTGCCGAATCCTTTTCCCTCCAGGTGCCTTCAGCAGGGTCCCCGAGTCATTTGATTTTCTCCCTAAGGCCTTGTTCTGCACGCCGCCCCCCTCCCGGGACCCGGAGTTCCTAAATTTCACCGAATTCTCAGTCCTTGCTCCTCCTGCGGCTTCCTCCTCTAATGTCACCCTTGTAACCTTTTCCCTTTACAGAGAGCGCTTTATATTCTTA